GGCCCGAAGGTGAGGCTGCAGCTCCGCCGTGGGCACGTGCACCGAGGCACACGGGGGTGGGAACTGGGGGACAGAGGCCTCGGGGCTTGGGGACTGGGGCGCGTGGGCGCACCCCCAGCAAGGCCAGCAGACGGAGGAGTGGGTGGCTACCGGGTCCCACTTGTCTGCCCTGGGAATTCGATCTGATTGCTCCCTTGGTTGGCAAGGCCCAGGGAAATGACGGCGCCATTCCACCACAGTGAGCTGGGCACGTGTCCCCGCGTCTGACTTAATACCCGAGCTCAGCATCTTCCAGGGGAAGCATCTTTCCGAGACAGTCGCCTCTGGCCGGGGGCTACTGAGCCCTTGAAATGTGGCTACTGCGACGGAGGAACTGACTCTAAATGTTATTAGAGCTGACTGTGTATGACTCAGGGGTTAGGGGTGCCCACCTCTTGGGCCATTGACTCCCCAAAAACTTAACTGCTAATAGTCTACCGTTGATTGGAAGCCCTACAAATAAACATAAACAATTAACAGATATTTTGTGCCTATATTATATACTGTGTTGTTACAATCAAGTAAACCAGAGAAAGGAAAATGGTATTAAGAAAATCAGAAGGTGCCAGGCTGGTGTGGCTCAGTGGTCGAGCGTTGACCTATGAACCAGGAGGTCACAGTTTGACTCCCAGTCAGGGCACATGCCCAGGGTTGCGGGCTTGATCCCTAGTAGGGGGCATGCGGTAGACGGCCGATCGATGTTTCTCTCTCCCTCACTCTCTAAAATAAATGAAAACATATTTTAAAAATTAAATTTGAAAAAACAGTCAGAAGGAAGAGAAAATACATTTACAGTCTTTATTGAAAAAAATGTGCTTCAGGTGGCCCAGCGAAGTTCAGCCCCGTGCTGTTCAGGGTCAGCTGTAATTGATTTAACTGATAAGCTCGGGTGCTCTGGCTCTGCACTGGGTGCAGCCGGATGGTCACCATCTCACCCTGTCTCCAGGGAGCCTCACGTTGCACCCCCATTCCTGAGAGAACGGGGGCCTCGGGCCTGAGCTGGCTTCCTGAATCCCCCCCAGAGTGGTTGATAGTGATCATGGCTCTTTCTTGCCGTATTTCCAGCTACAGGCTGTAGGCTTTGGTCAACGGGTATTCACTTGGAGTTTTTATTCAGGATTAATCTCCAGGGCTACTGTCCAGTCTTGAGAGGGAGTTCGGCCAGCTCTGCATTGGCGGCCAGGCTCACAATGAGCTTCTTAACCCCAATGACCACAGCTCCGGGCTCATGGCCACCCTTCCAGAACTGAGCACGACCTTGTAAGTCCGAGTAAGGGAGACAGCTCAATGGACTTGGCTGAAGAATCCAGGAAGGCCAGGCCTTGACCCTGGGCTCTGAGCTCTGCAGACAAAGTCTTTCCTCTCCTGAAACCCCCTCCACTGCAGGCTGAAGGGGGTGGGAGCCACAGCAGGAACCAGGACGAGGTCCTCACCCAACATCCTGGCACCCAGGCCTGGGCTTCCAGCCTCCAGAACTGTGAGGAATCAATTTCCACTGATTATAAGCCACCAGTCGTGGTGTCCTTGCTCCAGCCGCCTGAAAGGCTAAGACAACGATGGTGAGAGGGCAGTTCTCCCAGAGAGCAGCTGTGGGCCTTTTGCACGCTGGGGCAGGTGCCAGGCCTGGTACAGGGATCCGGGCGACACAGCATTATGCCTGCCACGTGTGGGGTGAACCATGGGACCGCCCACACCTCCCCACACCTGCTCGGACCCCCTAGGTGTGCGGCTCCTCCCGAGATGGGAGTAAATGCTCAGCATCTGTGAAGCTTCCACAGCCCCGCTGCAAGCCTGGTGGGTCCCAGAGGGTGAATTCTGCAGCAGGAGCTCAGGTCCTGAAAGCCAGAGTTTGCAGCCAGGAACTGAGGTGCTGACCTGCGCAGACCTCCCACCAAGGGCAGGCCTCTGGTCACAGATGCGCAGAGCCCAGGCCAGCAGCCTTGGGTGGACTTCCACCCGAGCTCCCTCCAGCCACAGTGCCCCGTCGGGGACCTGCCATCCAAATCGGGGCTGGTCCTTTCCTTCCTGGGCTCGGCGCCCATCCAAACACGCTCTCAGCAGGCCCCTCAGGCTGTCCGTGAGAATGCGGTGTTCTTCCTTTGAGCTCAGAAAGTGCAAATAAACAGCTCACTGCATTTGCACAGGCCAAAGACTGACCCTTGCCTTGGCCGGCCTGTCCTCCAGCTGCCTCCTCGGGGGTCCTGGGAAGGGTGTGCCTGTTGGGGGGGAGGGTTGGTGGCTCAGGGGAGACTCAGATGGAGGCAAACCTACTGTGGGACTCAACAAAAGCCTTGTGCCCGAGATCAGCATGGGTGCAGCTCTTTCTCCACCTGGTGACGTGAAAACCTTCAGGGGCCACAGGCTCCTCAACCCCAAGAAGATGGTCATAAGACAGACAGTGTTTATGTCCAGGAAGCCAGAAGAGTCCTGCTGCTTGAGAACTGGACACGACCAGGTGCTGCTCCCCGGGCTTCGGGCAGTGGAAGGAAGAGGTTCCCTCAGATGAGGAGAGACCCCCAGGAAGCAGTCAGACGACCGGCCTGTGTGTTCAGTCTCCTCACAACCTAGATGAGACTGATCCCTAACGACAGGTTTAACACGCGGCACCCCCACACCATCAGCTTCTTCCAGTCTCCTGGTCAGTGCGAGGGACCCAGGCGCCGGGAGCTCCAGCCTCTGTGCGAACCACCGGCCTGCCCGACGGCACCTCTCTCGACCAGCCCCTGACTTCCCGGGCTCCCCTTCCCTCTGCAGTGGGCACCAGGGCCTCCTCACCCACGCTGCCTGCAGCTGAGTTTTTGCGTGATATTTCGCTGTTAAAAACCGCACACAAATGTTTACAGCTGCACCCTCACAACAGCCCTAAGTGGAAACAGCTCAGACGCCCACCCGAGGGAAACCGATGGACGGGGGTGCGTCTGCACAGCGGAGCATTGCTCGTCCACAGAGAGGAGCGAAGCCTGATCCTCACAGCGCGAATGAACCTCGGACACGTTGTGCTGAATGCGAGGAGCCCCCCCGGAGACTATAGTCCGTTTATGTGAACTCCCCAGGACGGGGGAAGCAGGCTGGTAGCCCAGGAGCCGGAGGGAGGAAGGAAGGGGGAGCGGCTGCTTCACAGGCAGGGGGTTCATTTTCTGATGCTGAAAATGTTTTGGGACTAGACAGAAGCGGAGGCTGCACAGCACTGTGGATGTACGAGATGCTGCTGAATCGTGCACTTTTAAATGGCTAATTTTACTTTATGTGACTTTCAACCCTGCTGTAGACTGTTTGTATCTTCCCCAAACTCTTATGTTAAATCCTAATGCCCAATGTGATGGTAACTGGAGGTGGGACCTTTGGAAGGTGATCGGGTCATGAGGGTGGAGTCCCCAGGAAAGGGATTAGTGCCCTTATCAGAGACACTGGAGAGACCTCCCTGCCCCTGGTGTCACGGGGGACACAGCCAGACGATGGCCACCTATGAACCAAGAAGCCAGCCCTCACCAGACACTGAATTTACCAGCCCCTCCATCCTGGACTCCCAGCCTCCAGAACTGTGGGAAATACACTTCCGTTGTTCATAACCACCCAGCATTTTTGTTGTAGCAGCTCGAATGAACTAAGACTAACTAAATAAAACGCACAGAACTGCAGACCCCTCGCCAGTCCGGGCGGCTGGGCTGGCTGCTGAGACACAAGCCTCTCACTCCACACCCAAGCTCCTCTGCACTCGCCCTCGGGACCTGGGGTACTGAGAGAGACACCCCTTCTCCGTATCGGCCACTGCTCAGGCTCCTGGGGAGGCAGCTAGTATTTCCCGATCGCCTCTCAGTAAGTCAGTGCCGGCACTTTCCATGGTGGGACCTGGGCCCCATACTGAGCCTGTCAGCTCCGCTTCTTCATCTGCACACCTTTCAGGGTTGACATGGAGATAAGGCAGGGAGCGCGCATCTGAGCGGACACAGGAGTCGCCATATAGCGCCATCGTTCTTACGCTCTGGGCCCACAGCCCGGGCCTCCTGCTCACCAGGGGGAGCCAGGCTCCCATCAGGAACCTCAGTTTTCCGTGATTCCTTTTGCTCTTGCTCCCTCGCCTGGCCCTCCCCCCGTATGGCAGGACCTGTTTTTTTGTGGGGGGTTTTCCCCAGTGATTTGAAGGTAACTCCACCTGATCCCTGTGCACAGAACTGCTGGGTAATCCGGCCGATCCCTTTACCACCAGAAGCCCTGAAATTTTAATGTCTAAAGTAGGAGTTGGCCGACTTCTTCTGTCAAGGGAAAGACAGTAAATATTTTAAGCTTAAGAATAAAATGTGACGTAAAAATGAATCCAGGTGTCAATGTGTGTCAATAAAGTTTTATTGGAACACAGTCACTTTCATTGTGGATCAGCTACGGCTGCCTTTGAGCTGCAAGGGCAGAGTCGAGCAGTCGATGCAGATGCCTGACATTCTTACCGTGTCGCCATTTAAGAAGAATGTGGCCGCCCCCTGCTCTCTTCAGACAGTGTTACTGGCCCTGGCCAGTCGCTCAGTGGTTAGAGCGTCGGCCAGAGGACGGCTGGGTCCCAGGTTTGATTTTAGTCAAGGGCACGCACCTCGGGTGGGCTGGCAGGGCTGGTGGGGGACGAAGTCAATCCACGTGTCTCTCTCCCACCGATGTTTCTCTCTCCCTCCCTCCCTCCCACTCTCTCTGAAGAGCAACGGAAAAAATATCCCCAAGAGGGGATTAAAATAATAATAACGTTAGTGATCAAAACGCACCAGCAGCAAGCACCTGCCGTCCTGCGTACTGTGCAGTTTTTTTATTGGACAACAGCGATGCCTGTTTGCTCGTCTGCAGGACGGAGCCGCCCTCGCCCTGAGGCTGCCGCGGGAAAGCGGGGAGCACCGTGGGGCACCATCTGCGCTCCGTCAGCGTGAGCGGGAACCACGTCGACGCGTGGACAGGGGTCTGAACAAACACAGAAGACAGGCTTAGTCCTCCTACTTTATTTGGAAATGTGTGTAAACACTTTGAAACGTCCCTTTTGTCACTTTGGCTTCCCCAGGTTCGGACGACAGGACATTCTCCTTCACGGAAGGTACGAGTGAGGCAGGAGCCGAGGGCGGCTCAGAAGAAGGGGCCCGAGCTGCGGGGCACCGAGGCGTCCAGGCCGCTGTTCATCCATATCTCCCGGATGATCTGCTCCCTGCGCTCAATCCTCTCCGCCAGCTCCGCGGCCTCGGCGGACGAGTAGGCGGGGTACGGAGTCCTGCCAAACCCCGCGGGCTCCGCGGGGAAGGAGGAGCCGGAGGAGTCCTCCCCCAGCTCGGCGTCCTTGCTGTCCTCCTCGGCCTCCTCGCTCCCGGCCACCAGGCGCTCCCTCCCCAGCTGCAGCTCCTGCAGGTCTTTGGTGCAGGACACTCTGGCCACCAAGGCGCACAGCGTGAGGGCCAGGCCGACGCAGACACTGGACACAAACAGCAGGGCCGCTCTCTCGGGGTGGGCTGTGGGCGGGGAAGAGACAGGTCAGGAGCTGGGACAGCGGTCGGTCCTCGCCAAAGTCCCAGGGACACGACCGTCTCCCCAGGCTGCAGGCCGAGGCAGTGCCCGGCCTGGACAGCACCACGGAGACACCCCCACTTCACCGATCACAGACCCCCCCATAGATTTAAAAAAAAAGTTTTGGAGCGTATACAGTCAACACATGTATGTACATGACGGGACACAGAGCAGAAGGTGGGCCCCTGCGTTCACACTCAGATCTGCGCCTCATTAGCTGTGTGACTCCTGGAAAGTTACGTGACCTCTCTGTTTCCTTCCCCTACAGTGGGGCTAACAGCACCTTCCTAGTACAGAGTCGTTCTGATGAGATGAATTAATTCCTGTGACACATCGAAAATGCTCAATAAACCGTTAGCTATTAGCAGCTGTAAACTATGAAAAATTAATTTATATATAAAGTTTAACTACGAATGTAAGTACCATGTAAGCGAAGCTTACTTTGTTCTAGATTGAAAAGTAAATATAAATAATTCAGGTAGCTTTTCCTACATCCAAATGATTGTCCAATAATAACAGAAATAGAAATAATGCTAATTTGTCCTGTGTACCCTGGTCTGAATCCTCAAGTACATATAAGCCTCACGTTAACCCTGCGCAGAAAGGGCTGCGACTTCCCGTTTTCCAGTTGTGTCCCCCTTGCGGGGTCAGCACCCCACTTTGGGAAATACGACCCAGCGAGCTCCCTCCTGTACAGTCCAGGCGTTGCAGGCTTTTCCAGGGAAGGGGGCATCGTGGATACTTAGGGCTTTGCCGGCCACGTAACCTGTGCTTCACTCAGCTCTGGCTGTGCACACAAGCACCACAGGTGCCCCGTGTTCTAATAAAGCTTTATTCGCGGGGCTGCCGTGGGCCATGGCGGCTGACCCCTGACCTCCGGGCTGAAGCTGAGGCCTGGGAGGGAAGGAAGCCTTCTCTCGGCCAGTCGGCCTCGTTAGGCGGGGCCAGGGCTGGAGCCCAGATCCTGAGCGGTCAGCTGCCCGCGGTGAGCATTTGGAACCACGGACACTTCCTCGGCTCGGCTGGGCTGCGTGGACACGCCGTGGGCACAGCGAGCGATGGAGGCCGCTCTGCGCCGCCTCCTGCTTCCCCTGAGGCCCGGGCTGGAGTCGGAGAACTTGAGGGTAAGTTTCGCGGTCGGTCGAAGGATCCGGGTGCCGGGATCTGCCAGGGAAGCTCTACGTGGGACGTGTTATCGCCTTGAAACCCGAAACCTCCCCACTGGGCTCCCTTCCCTCTGGCTCAAGCCACCCGGAGTCCCAGGCTCAGGTGCGTTGCTCCCTGTCACCACGGTNCACGGCGCCCACCAGCAGCCTTGTCACCCTCTTCAGGACGCAGAGGTCTCAGCTCCGATGTGACGTTGGCCGGGGGGGGCAGAGACGGTGTCTGCAGTGTTAGTAACTGTATTTTCTCTGAGTGACAAGGGAGTTTGGGGGTTTGTCCCGTGAGGGAGGGAAGGGCCGTTTCACTCCTGGGCGTGGCGGGGGAATGAGGGCTGGGAGGCCAGCACCTGGGGCATTAAACGAGGACACACAGGACGGCGCTAAGACCCGAGGCACGGATGCCAGGGCCTTGCCAACCCTGCGTCCGACCTGGGGCTTCCTCCGGCCCCCAGCTGCCCCATCAAGGTGACCCCCGCCTGACTGCCGCGGTCGGGACTACGCTGCTCGCGTTTTATATCGTTTACGGCACCTTTGTTTTCCTGAGCCCGTGATGAAGGGCGTAGCCTACGGGTGTGTGTGTGTTTGTTATATCGCGTATACTCTTGCACTGTGTTGACTGGAGCACTTTATGGTCCCTGTGGTCTTGGTCGGCGTGTCCTGTCCCCGATTCCCGAGCTCCCTTCAGAGGCCGCGTCTCCCCTCTTCCCAAAACGCTGGCTCGTGTCTCGTGCCGTTTACTCTGTTGGGCAGCCTGAGCTTCCTCCCGTGTAAGGAATATAAGCCTCTGCGTGTTCCTGGCAGGTATCAGTCGCCAGCATGCGTGCTGCGAACACCTCCTGGCGAGCGGCTGTCCGGCTTTCACAGGTGCCCTGATCTAGGGAGTGGCTCTGAGAAGCGGGGACGTGAGCCCGGCCCCCGCGGCTCCCCGGCCGGCTGCTCTCGCTCCTTTCTGGCCCCTTTCGTCACCACGCCCACTCTGGCCCTCTCCGTCTGTTCAAAACGCACACCCGGGCTCTAGTCGGTGTGATTCAGTGGTTAGAGCACCGGCCCTCGGACTAAAGGGTCCCGGGTTCGAGTCCAGCCAAGGGCACGTAGCTCTGCTGCAGGCTCGATCCCCGGCCCCGGCTGGAATGCGTGTGGGAGGCAACCAGTCG